CTATGAGTAGAGCTGACGTTTCCATTGAATTTCACATAGCCTTGCTTTCGGAAAAGTTGTTCTCATACAGGCACCAGAGAATTGCAGTTTCGACATCGCATCGGTATTATAAACACCCTCAGCTGGAGTCAAACCGCGACAGTACTCACTCAGTACATATCATATTACTGATTTACTGGTAGTCACGAAAACAATACTTAATGCGAAAAAATAAAGTATAGTAGTCGATTGTTATAGCAAAACATACGTTTGCTTCATCAACAATCCCACCAAAGAATAAGATATGGCAAAAATGCCTGGCCTTCCTTGAAAATTCACATTTGTTCTGTGACCTGAAGGCACTCGTGGCAGTGGAGCCGAGTGGTTAGCGTGTCAAGCTCCCATCCTGCACTGTCGCGGTTCGACTTCCGCTGAGGGTCTTGATAAGACCGATGCAAGGTCGAAACTGTAGTCCACCCCAGCCGGGATGAGAACAACTTTTGGGAAAGCAAGGCTATGTGAAATTGAATGGAGACGTCAGCTCAACTCATATCATTGTGGCAAAATTCTTCTTCTACCAGTCCTTCATCACCTTAAACGAAATCGGGTGAATACATCTCATATTAGTCTTTTCTTGTCTTGGTTATAATCATAGTCACTGCTCTGTACTTTTAGCTCACTCTTTCTCTCTCGCATTGAGACCACAACAAAAAAAGGCTCATTAACAAAACCACACGAGTGTCCGTCCTTGCGCAATCGGAGTGATGGTTATAACATGTATGTAGAAAGGGAGAGGTAGGGTCATCAAACCTTGATGGCCAAAAACAGATGTGGGAAAATTCTTCTTCTACCACTCCTTCCTCACCTTAAACGAAATTGGGTGAATTCATCTCATATTAAGAATCTCTTCCACACAACTTTTAATACGAAGTGAAAGGCACTCCAACATCAACAAATTATGGGATTGAAGATGTGAAGACCAAGATGTTATGGCCTCGGGTATGGTCGCAGTCTCCTTTCGACTTATAGAAGTG